ACGGTACCAATAGGAAAAGTTTATATAGAATGAAAAAAATATTTGTAAAATTAAGGTACATTTATTTATCACAAATATTACTTTTATAATGAGATTGTGAGGTTCTGGACAGGTCCGAACATCACTAAAAATTCGCGTAAAAATCACTTATTTTTAAAGGCAAAATTATCTTTTTTTTTTTTTTTTAGAAAAAAATAGAAGTTGGAAATAGTTTTCTTTCTGAAAATGACGCAAACTTTTAAACAATAGAACAATGGAAAATCGAAGATGGACTATCTCTGGTTGGAGATTGAATTAAACTTCGATTTTGACCTCTCTTGCGCTACCGAAAGGTTTTGGAATTGTCATCAGGTGATAAGGAGAGACCAATCGGAAAGTAGAATCGGGGGGAAAATGGATAAAAAATCTAATGTAATGTGTGTGTGTGTCTCAAACCTATCTTCGTCTTCATCTTCCGACCTCGGATCGACATCTTTCCATCAATGGAAGTCGACCGCATCGTTCGGAGTCATAGAGACGTCGATGGAATTGGTCATTCATGAACCAAGGACACTCATTCCCAATGGGACAATCTTGGAAAGGAGAGGAAGACCCCAAGGTTGCAGCTGAAGTAGAACTTCCAAGATTGCGGAAATCTTGTAAGCTTTTTTCGTGTTTAATAAACGGGTTGTATTGTAAACAAGGCATCAATCTCTGACTCAACTGCTTCCACATGTCGTTGATTGTTACCACCTGGCAATCCAAACGGCAAGGAGACGATGACGATAAATATCACATATTATCATCAATATATCGTTTTTAAATTTCTTTCCCCCTTGGTCCCCACAAGATCAGTCATTTTAAAAATTATTTTACTAACTAGTAAAAGAAAATTCAGTCAACATTCATTGATAAGATCAATAAGCATAATTAACTTTGGTTCTGGTACTTATTTATTATGTTCACTAATTAATGTATCAATAATACTTATAAAATTCTTAATTATTTAGGCTACAGGCTCCTAATAATAACAACAATAATAAACTATTTAAATCACCTGGAGAACAAATTTTAATTAAATAGCTGCTTATGTATTTTTGCATTTGCAAATTTTTTTATGATCTCCTCATACAATAATGTCTGAGTTATATCATTTTCAATGGACAGCAAGGCTAGATCAGAAAGCTTGTCTTCTGCAAGAGTCAACCTAAGGTACGTTTTAATTCGCTTAAGCTTGCTAAAACTCCGTTCACCTTTGGCCAGAGCTGTAACTAGCCATTCCTGTGCCCTGTGCAAGAATTTGCATTTAGGCCCCTTAATTTATTTGGTTTGGGAAAATAATAAAATAAATATATTACAATAGATTTTTAATAAGATTTATTTTAATTGAACTTTTCTGGCTTTCATTTCAGCAAATTCATTAACTACATGATCATAATTAATATTTTTAATGATAATGTATTCTATTGAAATAATAGAAATATTCGACAATCATTCTTGCCCGATAGTTGATCTTAAATAATTTTTTATTAAGTTTAACTTGCTAAAACTTCTCTCACACGAAGCAATAGAAACGGGAAGAGTTAGAAATATTCGAAGAGCGACATTGATATTT